TCTCTCTATATATATATCTATATGTATATCATATATATCGTCACAAACAGAATATATATATATCATACATATATATATCGTCAAATACAACTGCCCGGTAAACCGTAGGCAGAGAGGGAGAAGAGGACAACAAACGAGGGGCTGTATATATATATATATCGTCACAAACAGAACTGCCCGGTAAAACCGTAGGCAGAGAGAGAGAAGAGGACAACAAACGAGGGGCTGTGACATATGTACATATATATATTCACCCACCAGGGGTTCACACGCCTAGGATTGAGGCCGTAGGAACCAGCACACTCACATGCACTGTGCCGCCGTGACTGCACAAAGGAAACCTTCTCCAGCTTCAAATCGCGCACGATGGCACGGTGCATGGTGGTGCTGGTTTTATAGCTCTTACATAGCGCCCCTCTCTCCCGTCCGTGTGCGGTGTGTTTGTCGCAACACCACTGAAGTTTGCATCGAATGTGCTACTGCCACAACGCGGATGAGTGAGAGAGGCAGAGTGTGTTTGTGTGTGTGTGTGTGTGTGTGTGTGTGTGTAGTCGCATCAGGTAAACATCAATCCACAAAAAAAAAGCATGACTGTGCGAGTCTGTTCCGTGGGCACAATCATCAACTTGTGTGTGTGTGTGTGTGTGTGTGTGTGTGTGTGTGTGTGTGTGCATGGTGCTTGACGTGTGCGAGTCGGGGCACCGTGACAGATGGTTGATAATAGTAAATCCCGACCATCACGCGCACGGCCACCATGGCCATGGCAGCGGCTAGGACACGGTGGAGGCGCAAAGAGACTGTGTGCGTGTATGGAAACAGTGACAGATCAGCAGCGGCCACGGTTGCTCTTCCTCACAGATGTAGGTATTGAGGGCATCGCCACACCACTCTCGAAATGGGCAAAATGAGAATGAACTTCCCAGTAAAACATGACCAGATGCACCTGCCACTTTTTTGTCTTTTTCACATTTCGAGAGTGGTGTGGCGAGGCCCTGAATCATAAAGGCACCCCAACACCTGACAAAGTGAAAACAAGGAATCTTCGAAAACTGGAAGAGCAAAAAAAAAAAAAAAAAAAAAAAAAAAACGTACTCGGCCTGTTCTTTGGACCCAAGGTTCAGAAGACAGAGGGGGCAACGGTACCGCTTGATTTTTCGTCTTTTGACGTTACTGTAGCACAGGCTCGGAAAAGGGAAAATACGGCTTCGACAATTTAGGGTTCGACGGACTGGTGGTTTAAGGCATATTAGGCATTGTTTCTAAGGAGAATGGTCTAGTGCCATGCCATATGTAAGATGGGTAAAGGGTTAGTCATCTGGAGGATCAATGAACTATCTTATGAGGAAACAATTTGAGATTTTTTGTGAGAGTACTTACCCATTGTGGTATGGACTTGCATGTGATTGAGTGTGAGCTCTACTTTGTTCTCAGTCTTAACTTTGATAGGTAGTTGCTTTATACGCTTGCCACATGCTAGAGCTATAGGTGTTAATTTAATTTATGCATTTTCTGAGTCAGTTTATTTTACTTAGCTTTGTATAAATTCGGGGAAGACACTTTTCCTAAGGGAAGTGCTGCCCAAATTTTTGCATATCTAAAAGGTTAAGTCAAATTTTATCTTTACGAATTCAACTTTTGTCCGAGTTTCATATATGGCTTACTAAAATTTAGGAAACTAACTTTTCTAAGGGAGATGCTGCCCAATTTTTACTGAATTAGTGTTAAATTTCGTCTTCGCAGAATTCAAGTTTTATATTGAATTCATATCTGACTTGGTATAAATCAGAGAAGCCTACTAAACTAAAGGAGATTCGGACCAAATTCAGAGAGTTAGACAAAATTTGACTCTATAAATTCAAAGACCACTTTCAGATTTCATATTTAGTTGAGTATAAATTTTGAAAAGACACTTTCTCTAGTGGAAGTGCTATCAATTTTTTTTTAGTTTTGAGAAGTTAGATTTATATTTTGATAAGGAAAACTTTGGCGATCCACCCTATACAGGAAAATGATGCCGGAATTTTCCTTATTCTTCTGGCACCCATTGAAAGGTAGATTTAGATTTAGTCTTAGGAGAATATGAGTGAGATGTGATATAAGGGTTTATTCTCCATACACTTAAAAAGTTTAGTTTTGGGAATTAGCCTGTGTTGTGTTACATGTCCTTTTTTATCATTCTGATTCAAAATCTGACTAGTAACGTCACAATCAGGACGACGATCACAACCAGTGGACAGTTTAGACCTCAACCAGAAATGTTTATAGACGGTCTGGGAACGTCTACATAGGACTGGTCAGTCCGTACACCCCTTCTATCAGCGCAACAAAGAACCTCAATGGACAAAGCCGCATGGCATGCGTGTACTAATACCCATGGGTTGGCATGGTGACTGTGACCCGTGCTTCGACCAGGGCCCTTCAGAGGCACCGCCCTCTCCTGCCAGATGCGCCACYGRSAAGAATGTCGTCTCTCAAGATAGAGCGCATACGACTCCTCACCAAAGAGAGGACACTCAAGTTGGACTCACTTCCTCAYGGTAAGAAGAGATTGAGAGGGTAGATAAGGAATGGGAACAATGTACCTAGAGATAGTTGCCCCCAACCACAAATTTCTCACCAATTGGGCCGACGTGCATTTCGATGACCGATCATTAGCCTCGGTACCACCCACAACGCAATGCAGTGCCACCTCAGCTAAAATGCCACGTCAACATACTCTTATCATCATGCATACACCTGCTGTCACCACAGCTCCCACGTTGTCGCCACAGCCTTCCAGCGGTCGGCCTCTCCACCTAGGCCCCGCTAATCAACCAATGCCAAAGTATCCTTACTGGACATGAAGCATCGCCAGCGCACCAAGTCACAATGTCGCTGGTGCTAGGTAAGCGGCGATCACCAACCAGCTCCGATACCAAATTGCAAGGAATACGAGTGTGAGGACTCTCGAGGGTTGTCCTTAAATTGCCTCTTGATCAGCCAGATTAGTCAGACGTAAGGCTCGTTGCACGTGAGGGTAAATAAAGGGCAGGCTGGTCATAAGCATACTTCTTGGGCACAGGGGTGGGCCGTGGTTGCACACCTTAGACACCGCAACTTGATGATGCTCACAGGTACGTTGGATACAGGGGAAGGGGATTCCAATTGTGAACTTAACTGTTAATCACTATATTATCCATTGTGCATACCTGTGAGTTTATTTTTATCTTGATTAGTTGGTTCACAGACTGCTAACACCTAACAGACAACCTAGAGTAGGACTGTAATCTACCACAGTCAGTTCTCCTTAAAGCTTCTGTGCAAAACTAATCAAAGATAGAGGTAGACTACATGTATACAGTTTGTGTAGCTGCTGTTGATACCGCTTGACTAGTAGTCTAGGTAACTCGCTGGACATCAATTATTTTATTTATTTTTAGAACCGGTCAGACGCATGCTGCGGTAGGTCCCAAAGAGGACATTAGTGCAGACAGCGTCTGCCTAGCCCATGAGCGAATCAGACGGTGGGGAGGATAGATCTGACGATAGGAGGCAGACGCGACGGGATACCGGTAGGATACCCGTTGCGTTCCAGGTTCTACTACCAGGAGACGAGAGAAGGCTTAGGGTCGAGACAAGGGCACGCAATCTAAAAACTGCGAGACAGGCAACAGCCGTGGTTGAACGCGCGTTAGCAGCAGCAGCGGCTAGTGCAGTAGCAATAGCTACCTCTTCAACCACTTCTGCTGCAAACTCTACTGGTCACGCGACCAGTTCACAGTCCATCTCCAGTACGTCAGGAGCTAGCACTAGTCAGATGGCGGGTTCGCACTTCAACTCGCCACCTCCACGCACCCGGGAGCAGATGGAGCTCCAACAAGTAGAGAGGATTTGCTTAAGGGTAGAGGAGGAACTCAGACAGGCTACTAAAAGGGAGAAAGAGATTAGAGATAAGAGTGTCAGACTAGAGGGTAGGGAGGCAGACAAGGCTGCGCTAGAGGGGTTAGATGACTCGACCCTTAGCAATAATGAAAAGATTCTGAAGGCGAGCATCCTGTCCATGCATGCATACATGGACAGTAAACTGGATACAATCCAGGACACCTTGGACCAGATCCTGAATGCCATGCACAGGCCAGGAGTCAGGCCAGCGGTCTTGCCGTCGCTGCCATTCTCAGTGACGACAGACCTCTATGCTGCTCAGTCTGAACCACCACCAAGTGGTACATCAGCAACAGCCTTATCTCATACTGTTGCTTCTTCATCTTCCGGTCCAGCGACTGGTGCTACACCACAGTCGCCACCTATCTCGCCAGCGGGACAGCAATGGTATCCCAAGACCCCCCTGAAACCACCTCCAACCTTCTCAGGAGACAAGAAGGACGAGGCTCTCGACACGTGGTTGAGAACGGTGCCAGTGTGGGTGAGGGCAAAGAGGACATTGGTAGAGGAGGAAGTGATTACTGCTGCATCCTACTTAGAGGGTTCAACAACTCGCTGGCTTAATGGATTGGTAGCTACAAAGGGGTTCGGCAGGAACATGGATGATTGGACGCAGACCCACACCTTGGAGAGCTTTATGGACTTAGTGGAGGCTCAACGACACAACCCTCAACAGGCACAGATTGCCACTGATGGGCTTCTAAAGCTTGATACTAGAAAGTACACGTCGGTGCGAGAACTTACCACAACCGTAGAGCGCCTGATCGTGGTCTTAGGACTGGAGTACAATCCACATGTCTTATCGACCATGTTCTTGAGATGTCTTCCCACAGACATCAAGAACTTACTGGCCAGCGAGGCTCGCCTAGAGTATCACACCTTTGAGACATTCAGTAAAAAGGCCTTAGAGGCTACGCTGGGTAGTACTCAAACCCCTTCTACGGACGGGAGGAAGAAGACTCCACAAAAATGGAAGAAGAAGGGTAGTCGATTGATGATGGTTGATTTCGAAGAGAATCAAACTGAAATCGATGATGTTTCTGAACTTGTGGGGGGTGCAGAGTCAGACGACGAGGAGAGTGTTAAGGGTAGCAACCTCGCCGCAGCAATTAAGACTAAGGCAGAAGGCCGCGGGAAGGGCGGTCAGCAAAGGAGTCAGGGGCAGGCCGCTAACCCAAACAAGATAGCTGCTTGCGTTAGAGCAGGCTTGGATCAGGAAGTGCGGCGAGATCGATGGTCGCTTGGTGCTTGCATACACTGCGGCGAGTACGACCATACGTAGTTTAAATGCAAGAACCCGAAGGTCTCGCAGAAGATCCCTCCTAAGGGTGGGTTTCCTTCTTCTCAGTCTGGGGCCTCTACGAGCTCCAGCTCGGGAAACACTTAGGACCGGTAGAAGATATAGGTGCTTCTACTCTCGTCGATGCGGGTGATGTACCTTCCCCGATTCAAGAGTTGGCCAAAGCTATTGACTCCTTAGTCACCCCACAGACACATCTGGACCCAACTATACTCTGTACGTTGGATGTGTCTGAAGCCTTAGAGGACCTTCAAGGTGAGTGGTCGGCAAGGGACCCTCGTGAGTCCTGGGTGGCACTGAGTAGAGATCCTAGAGGGGAGCATTTCGTTGTGGAAGTTGGTGTGGGTGGTCGCAAGTGTGGCGCCTTCGTAAACATTGGCTCCACACTAAACTTCATAAGTCGCGACTGCGTTGACAGACTGTGCCTAAAGGACCGAGTGCAGCGCCTTAGTAGACCGGTAGCATCTACTTTGGCCAACAAAAAGCGCATGATGGTGGAGGACTGCGTTAAAGATGTAGTCTACACTTTCTCCTACCCTGGAGGAGAGAAACCATAAGATATCATTCCTGGTGAGCGACGAGTTGCCCTTTGACATGCTGTTGGGCATGTACTACCTCGAGGTTGCGAAGCCCTAGTTTGACTGGGACAAAGAAGGTGTTGAAGCACGAGTTGCCTAGCGGGAGAACCGTTAAACTGACTAAGTATAAAGCCAGTAGGTTAATAGACTCCTATGGGTGCTTATGCGCATCAACTTTCTATAATTATTATAAACAGAACCAAGAGGAAGGAATGTACTTAGTCTATGTCTCTGCAAAAGGGAAGGTCGTTAAAACACCCCCAGAGATAGAGACCATCGTCGCTAAGTACCCTGATCTGTTCGAGGAGCCCTCAGGAGTCGTAGACAGGGAGGTTGTCCATGCCATAGAGATCATCCTAGGTAGCAAGACATCTAAAGGGAGAATCTATAGGATGGCTCCGACCGAGTTGGACGAGCTTCGTCGACAACTGAAAGAGCTCACAGAAAAGGGTTGGATTCGGCCTAGCACTTCCCCTTTTGGCTCACCAGTGCTGTTTGTTCCAAAGAAAGGGGGAACACTAAGGATGTGCATTGATTATAGAGGCCTCAATGCCATCACCGTTAAGAACGCAGAGCCTCTACCACGCATCGACGACCTATTGGATAGGGTGCAGGGATGTAAGTACTATACAAAGATAGACTTAAAATCCGGCTACCATCAGATTGCCATAAGACCAGAGGACCAACACAAAAACTGCATTTCAGACAGGTATGGTCTGTACAAGTTTGTAGTGATGCCCTTTGGCCTTTGCAATGCGCCGGGTACATTCCAGCACCCCATGAATAGGATCTTCTATGACTACTTAGATAAGTTCGTTGTCGTGTACCTCGACGATATACTTATCTTTAGTAGAACTATCGAGGAGCATGCTCATCATGTACACAAAGTACTTTCACTCCTCCGCCAGCACAAGTATCAAATAAACGCAGAGAAATGCGAGTTCGATCACACTCGAATCTTGTTCTTGGGTCATGAAGTATCCACGGACGAAATTAGACCCGAAGATGCGAAGGTGGCTAGCATTAGGGACTGTCCACGACCCCAGTCTGTAACTGAGGTCAGATCATTCTTGGGAATGTGTGGTTATTACCGCAACTTCGTGAAGAACTATAGCACCATCACATCTCCCTTGACTGATCTAACTCGACTTGACACACCATGGGACTGGACCGACGAGTGTGATTCAACTTTCAAGCGTTCGAAGCATGCTCTCACGCACGATGAGGTTTTCATGGTACCCGACCCGCAAAGGCCATTTGTTGTAACCACTGACGCAAGCCAATACGACATTGGCGCAGTGCTGGCTCAGCAGGAAGGGAACAAGTTGAGACCGGTCGAGTACATGAGCAAAAAGATGTCATCAAAGAAGTTGGCAAAGTCCACCTACGAGAGGGAACTCTACGCTCTCTACAAGGCGCTTGTCCACTGGAGGTACTATCTGTTAGGAAGGTTTTTTCTATTTCAGAACTGACCATCAGACCCTCAAGTGGATCAAGACACAACCGGTTCTCTTCGATGCACTCAAACGCTGGATTGAAGTCATAGATCAGTATGACTTCAAACTAGACTATGTGAAGGGAGAGTACAACAAGGTTGCAGATGCGTTGTCTAGAAGGGCAAATCACCTGGGTGTGCTGATTTCCGAGTTTGGCCTATCTGAGGACGTGACTCTCCGGACTCGAACCGGAATGGACAAGCCGCAGTATCTATGGAGGAAGCCTACAAGGAAGATCCCATCACGATGGACATCATCATCAAACTTCAGGCTAAAGACAAGGCCACTAATGATGAGTTTGTGATGGTGGATGGGTTGCTCTTTCTTGAGAAGGCAGGGTTTAAGAGATTAGTTGTTCCATCTAGGGAAGACTTGCGTAGTTTGTTTTTAGGAGAATGCCACGGCGCAACACGACGCTTCGGCTATAAGAAGACTAGTGCTAACTTAGTACAGCGATTTTGGTGGCCTAACATGCTAGACGATGCAAAAAAGTACGTACAGACCTGTCAGCGGGACAAGCTGCGGACTAGCTCCGCTTGGGTTACTCAAGCCTCTACCCATTCCTGCTGGTCCAGGGCAGAGCATCTCCATGGACTTTATGGATACTCTCGTGACCCGCAAGAATGGCAAGAGGCACATCTTCGTCATAGTGGATAGGTTCACTAAGTACGCTAGACTAATCGCCATGCCAGAGACTGCCAGAACTGAGCACGTTATCAAGTTGTTCATGGACATCTGGGTGCGTGACTTTGGACTTCCAAAAACGATCGTCAGTGACAGAGATGTACGTTTCACAAGCGAGATGTGGAAGAAGGTTATGAACAGATGGGCAGCCAGCTTCAGACGACTTCTGGGAATCATCCCGAAGCAAATGGGCAGGCTGAACAGATGAACCGAGTGGTGCAGCATCTGCTAAGGCATTACATCAAGCCCAACCAGGATGACTGGGATGAGAAATTACCTCTCATCGCCAGCCTGTACAACAACGCTGTACACAACACCACCGACGTCGGTCCTAATCAACTGCATCTAGGGTGGAAGCCTAGATCTGCTCTAGACTTCCTCCTGCCTGAAAACCGAACTGCTGCAACTCCTGGAACCATTGAATTTGGTGTCTAGTATGAGAAATTGTTGCACCAGACTGTCGAACACATCAAGAAATCTCAGGAAGTCATGATTGCTTATGAGAACAGGCGTCACCGACAGTCCACATTTCAGGTAGGGGAACGTGTCTGGGTCAAGGCTAGTGAGCTGGGACAGGAGTTCGGCATCTCTAGGAAACTAATGCCTTAGTATTTCGGTCCCTGGGAAGTCCTAGACATTGTGGGGAATGATTTGGATGGTCCCTCGTACGTCATTCGTATCCCTGGTCACTTACGCACTTACCCTGTTTTCCACGCCTCCAAGCTTGCACCTTTCGCTGAAACAACACAGTTCCCATCACGGAGATCTATGCTGCCCCCAACCATGGATGGCCACGTGGACGTCGACAACATCTTGGATCATAGAGACACACCTGTTCCCAAGCCACCTGGTAGGGGAAGACCTCCCAAACCTGCGAGGGAAAAAAGAGTACATTTCAGGCATCATACAGATCCAAAGGAAGATCGATGGATTTCAAGGGAGGAACTTGTCAAGACAACTCAGATCGTGGCAGATTATGAGAAGAAACTAAAGGGGAAGGCACCAGCATGAAGCATCTCAACGGACTTTCGAAGCTAAGGGGGATGGAATGTGAGGAACAAGCCCTCAAGGGGCCCTATCAGACATCACACTGCTCTGGATTAAGGAGAACGTCCAGCCTACTCCGCTAGCTGACCTGTATGCGAAAAAAACTCTTGCGGTTTGGTTGAAAGCCAAGTCAGTACGAGATTTGCTGCATAACCATAAGCTCTTTGCACAACAAAACACCTTCGAGTGCGTGTGCGAGAACTTCGACTTGCCCAAAATCAATGGACATATTGCGGTCAAAATTAGCGAAGTAAGTGGCTTGGACCCATTCCTATCCAATGCTAAGAATAACCCTTTTCCCGGGACCACCGCATCTCGGGATAGCCTCAATCAAGCCTGCAACGAGGCATTGGATGTCATCCGTAAGAACGGTATAACTAATCAGTTTCGCGTACCTCTTGGTTCGGTTACAAAAAAGGGTGAGGCAAAACCCTCTGGATGTATCCTTAGTGAGTATGTCCTGGGGGTAAAGCAAGCATTCGCGGGATTGGTTTTGGGCCCGCTGGACCGTAACACCTGCGAAACCTGGATTGAGTGTCCCAAACGGTATGAAAAAGGACTACAATTAATGTTTCTGAATATAATTCGAATTATGAAATTATGGACTCTGAAAAAAGTCATATCCTGTGTGACACTCGAACCAAATACATCGAGCAAGGCTTGGGACAGATCGCAAAATGGGACAGGCGGGGAAAACCGTAGTATGCCTATATTATGGCCAAGGAAAAGGACAGAGAAAAAAGGAGACCTATCGTCCCTTCATTTCAAAGCCCTTTTCGTGCTGCGTCTGGTGTCCTATCCCTGGCCTCGAACTGTTTGATTCGTAAGGTTAAGGTACCGCATTTTAACCTCAGATCGTTGGGGGACCTTCCACAGATGATTGTCGGTATCAATAAGAAAGACGGACCTATGTCTAAGTGTGGAGTTATTGCCCGCACGTATGACATAAAAGAAATGTTTACCCAACTACCCCATGATGTTATTTATCGCGCAGTACAATGGATTACTGAGTGTTTCGTGCAAAAAGGTATACGCTGGATCCGACTCAACACAAGGAAAAAGTTGACTACCTTTGGGAAATCCCATGGTGAGGCCGGATGGAAATCTGTCCGACTCACCTCCCTGATTTCGCTTACTCAGTTCCAGTTGGAACACACTGTATTCTTGGTTTCTAATGCCACCCTACGCCAAAAGAAAGGCATTCCGATGGGCGGGAGGGCAAGTCCGCCATTAGCCTTTGTGATGTGCATGTACTCTGAGTACAACTTTA